GGGGGGTGGGGGGGCGAGCAACGGCGGCGGGCGGCCCCGGGGGGTGAGCTTCTGCGGCTCAGCTCGGCGAGGCCCCCGGGGAGGCGGCCCTGCATCAAAGGCCGCCGTGGCGAAGGAAATACTGGTGGTTGTTGAGGTAAAAAGGGCTCACCGAGTCTGTCTCGGCTGTGTGGAGAAAGGGGGTTTAGCAGGTCTGTGGGGGGGTGTGGTGGCAGCGTCCCTGTCCAGCCCTGTTTATCTCTATCCATTTCTGTCCATCCCTATCCCCGTGGCATTCCGTACCGATTTGTAGTAAGCGTTTGCATTCATTCAGCTGCTTTTAATAGCTAAAGGAGTAACTCTGTGTCCTTTCAGAGCGTCCATCTTCAAAGTTTTGCACCTTACTGAACACTCAGAGACTGCCAAGAAGGTGACAGCCGTAAGAAACAGCGTGAACCTCTCTCCCTTTTCAATATAAACTATTTCTGGCTAATCCACAGCATAAGAGTAGCTGGCAATCTTATCTCGTCTCTTGTTTTCATTGCAGTGCTGTTAACAGGTTGAACTAAGATCGCAAGTGCAGCTCTCCCAACAGAGGTGCAAATCGCGGCGCTGATCCAATATTATAAGCCAGCACGTACAGCAGTAAGTCACAGCTTCTGCAGCTGAGTTGTTTTTATAACGATTTGTTCCCGGTTTCATCATCAAAGGCTATTTTAAAAGTTGTTGTGATCTAACTTTAAATATGTAACGAGGCTTGACTTCATGGGTAGCTGGTTTTGAGAGTCAGTTATCTTGAACGTTAATTAGGCATGCATGACCAAGTCCAGAGTCATAAACTTGAAACAAAATTATTCTATTAATAGCTTTTGTGGTATTTTTTTTGCTGCAAGTAAACATGTTTAGGATAATTTGTTAATTATGAATATCGGTATGATGACTGGCGTTTCAAGAATTGCCAGGCATTCATTTAAACGACTGAATTCCCCTGAAAATTAGAAAACATGTTGGCATCTATAACAAAGCTATTTTTTACCAGTAGTTTTTCTGTTAGATTATTTCCAAGGTTTCTCTTTAAAATGCCCACATTAGCTATACCCCGTTGTTTGATGTTGTCTTGCATCTAGCTCTCTTTTTTTCGGGGGGGAGGGGGGGAGTAAACTGGCATCTATTTTTTTGTCCATACATTTCCTTCTCAACTCTGCTGGATTCTGAACATTTCCCCGTCTCTCAGGCTGTATGAAGATGTGAATATTTGGGAAATAAGCTGTCGGATGACTGTTTTGCCAAAGCAATGGCTTCTCAAGAATTTACTGTAAGTGGCTTTTAACACTGTGTACAATTAAGTAGCAATAAATGAAAAGCCGCTGTAGCTGCTTATTATTTAAACATTTTCTTACTTATAATTTGGTCATTTTACACATTGAAAACAGGTGTTATACACTCACCAAAAAATGAAAAAATCAAAAACGTGGCAAGATGGAATTCTGAGGATTAGAACTGGCGGAAATAAGGTGAACAACTCAGGTTTAATACCGTTGGATTTAATAGCATCTGCTGCTGCTGGACTGTCAGTGGCAATCTAGTTGATCTGTGAAATAAAATTAGCTATTTAACAATTCTATTTTTTCACTGCAGGCTCTCTTGTTTGATGATAAAGGACAATGTTTGGAGAGTATTTTTATAAAATCTCAGGTATATTTCGTTCGGAGTTTTTTTTCTATTTTTATGCTTGATTGGGGTTTCTGTTTCAGGAAGCGTTTCAAACTCTTGTTTGGTAGCTAAGGTTCTGCTTTTTCTTATTGTGGTTATGGAAGTCTGCTGCAACGCAAATAATGGAAAGTGAAAGCAGCTTCCATTTATTGATAAGTCTTATTGTTTTTCCAGAACCGGTGTAGAGGTTTTATGGAATTTTATTCCGTCTGAGTAAAAGCAGTGTATTACACTGATATTTCAACTAAGCATAGCTTGAAGCTAGGTGCTAATGCTTACTAGTATATGTATATTTTAAGCTATTTATATGGCAGCTGTGATATACTGGGTGTAAACTTCTGAAACTTTTACATAAGAGTATTTAGAAGACTATATTTATTTAGGATACCGTGATTGTTTCTTACATGGCACTATTATGGTACACACTACTGCTTTCTCTTTTCTAGGTGAATGCTGGAGATAATTTAGAAAGTGAACGATATTTGATCACAGTTGAAGCAGTAAAAGTGAATGAAGAATCTTTGGGAGATCAGCCAAGGAAAGCAGAAACACCAGCAGTGGATAGAAATGGTGTGAAACCCGGTGTTCTGCCTCCAAGACATCTGTCTGTCGGCTTGAAAAGGAAGTTTACGGTATGTCTTTGTTTCAAAAGCTATGTCTGATGTTAACGTGTATGTTAAAACACAAAGGGCACATCTTTTAACGAGCGGTAAATGTATAGATGATGTCTTCCTGTTTTTTTGGAACTGTAAGCCAGACCGTGTTACCAGTAGCTGTTTTTTGCAGAGTTTCCCAAATCTGTTTGGTGTAGCAGGATTGTTGTTGCTAAGGCTGCAGTGAGAGTCACAAGGGCTTAAGGTTGTTTCCATACACCTGTGGAATCATCACATGCTAGTTGATGAGAATATATTTTACGGAGCGTGCCCTATTTTCAACACTTGATTAGAAAATGTGAAGTTGGTTTCTGAGTAGAATTAATTTAAAATTTCTCTCCTAGGGTTTCCAAGGGCCACGCCAAGTTGAAAAGAAAATATCAACAGTGGAAGATGGAGAAAACCCCAGAACATTGCCTTTATCACAGCAGTGTCGGGGTGCTTTCCCATCCAAGTTTTATGTTACCTCTCCGTTATTTTCTACGATTTGCAAGAAGGATGCAGAAACAAATCTGTCTGCAGACTTTCACGAAGATGCGCGTATGGATAACGATAGAGGACGCGTGTCTCTCTCCTCGCTGCTTTCAGCTCCGTTTCTTGACAGGTGTGAGGAGACAGAGAAGCAAAACTCCAATCAGTCCATTGTGAAGCCAGAATCTCCTCTAATTACTGGGCGCGCCAAATCTAGTAGTCAGACAGCCGCTCAAGGAGCAGCGTCGCACAACATCAGGAGCACAGCACAGATAATAGCGCTTTTGAAGTCTAAACCAACTGAAGGATGCAGAGAGCAAACGTCATCTGAAGTCACAGAGTGTCTTTCTAGGTTTCAGGCATCGGAAAACGCAGATAGTTTGTGTTACAAAAAAAGCACAATCCTACCTGCTATTTCAGGCAATCCTGCCAAAAGACTCATTCAAAATATTCAGCACCTGCCTTTTACGAAGGGAACCGTAAACGATAAAAAGGCATGGAATGCTGAAGTGCTTCTACATTCAGCTGAACAGCCTTGTGGTAAAGAAGTCACAGGACAGAGACATGACAAAAAGGCAAATAATTTAAGTCAAGCTTTACGAGATCCCTGCAATACAAATAGTTGCTTCCTACCTGAATCCACTGTAAGTAGAATGAGTGACAGTCAGTTTGTCCCGTCCTCGGGTGACGTTTTGTGTTCAGCAAGCCCGATCACCTTTGAAAAATGTCTCTCCAGCTACAGGGAGCATTCGGTGACTGATGGTCTTAAGGAGAATTTATCTGTGAAGCTGCAAAGTGAGCTTCAGCCAAGGCAGCGTTCAGAAAGAGTGCCTAGTGACCTGGAGCTCTCTGTGGGTGTCACACTGGCTGAAATTGGAATCGTAAAGGAGGAATTAAGTACGTGTGGCAAAGACTGTGGTCCAGATGAACGGGTGATGGAGGTTAACTTTAATCTAATGGAGGCTTTTGATTTTAATGACGCAGACAATGACGACCTGCGTGAAAGAGATGTGAATAAGCTCACCGAAGGAGACGTGCTTTCACAAAGTCCAGATGGCGTAAAAGGAGAAGATGTAGCACAAAATAGTGCGTTGAGACTTCATTCTTGCTGTGAAGTAGTGACACACAGTAAAAATGAAGAAGTCAAACGTTCAGCGTTTGACGGAGAGAATGATGGAAATGGCCGCGCTGAGGGTATGCCATCTCAGCTTTGCGACAACAGTGTCGGAGATACAGGGAGAACTGCAGAAGACTCTGCAAACCGGAGCAGAATTGAAGTGGAACTTGTGGGTGATGGACACAACCTAAAAGAGATGAATGAAAGTCAATTAAGTATCGAAGCCGCAAACCATCAGAAGGATCTTGACGGCTGTGCAGCGCATATCATTAATGGCATGTCACGGATAAAAAGCAAGCACTCTGACCTTTGGCCTGGTGACACAAATGTTAATGAATGTCGCCCTAAAACCAGCATGTTTGAGAAAACTGAAAGTACTTCATTTATTTCTACCAGCAGAGTAATTTCTGCAATGGACAAAAGGACCGAAGAAGACGTTATACAGCTTGGATGCATGAAATCCCCAAATGTTCATTTGGAACACTTCGGGGGTACCAAGAGCGATGACGTTAAAGCAGGTAGTCCTTTGCTGGCTTTGTCACAAAAACCAGATCCTCGCTATGGCTCGTTCCAGTGTATTGCAGAAGACCATCAAAAGGCATCTGGCGTTTCACGTAAGGAAGATAGCCGCATTTCCAGAAGTTCTATCTGTCCTTTAGGAAAAGGCCATTCATCTCCAGAGGAAACAGCAATTGGTGAAACTGAGTTTGAGAATGTAGAGAGCGTAAATGCCTTTCGCGAAGCCTGCAGAAGTGAAAGAATAGGAATGGATGGCCTGAAATGCACGGCAATGGCTGAAAAAAGTTCATCAGATCTTCCTGATTGGGTAAACAATATCGCTCTTCTAAGAGCTTTGACTCAACATAGCACAGCATTAGAAAGCTTACAAAAGATGGAGGAAAATAATAGCGTATTATGTGAAGCAGAGACTCCTAAAGAGATATTTGAACCCCTTGTGAAAGATGAAGGTTAGGTCAGCTTCTGTTTTAAAGTGAATTCTGTATGACTGTACCTATTTGACTTCTGTACTCTTACCTCTCCTGTTGGACAACTCGTATTCAGAAATCCCACTTTTGGAGTGATGTGTTACGAAGGGTCCCTCATGCAATTTTTAGTGCTTGAGGCAATAATGTGGCCTCCAAGTCTGTGTGTTTGCTTTTGTTCAGTTAAATCCTGACTGCAATTATATGCATGGGTAAGGTTTGCAAGCCCAGTAAATGTTCAGATGTTTTCATGTAAAAAGAATGCTCTAACTGTAACTTATTATGCTTTTCCATCTCTTGTAGCTATAAAACAGTTTACAGAAATGCCTTTCTCAGAAAGTATACAGGCATCTTCCTGTTCATACTTTGATTCTTCTGGCCTTATGGTAACCAATTTTTGACTACGTATATCTATCTGTACAAGATAAATTCATTTTCCACCAGGCCTCTTGAATAAAATTATTGGTTTATGAAACTATAGAGGTGGAGCTAGGAATTGCTTAGAGGCATCGACTAAGAAGCTGATAGTAAACAGAAGATGTCTTCTTGCAGACCCTAACTCCAGTAAATGTTCAGGAGGCCTAATGTATTGCAAGAAACTTAATGCAAATTGTAATATTTTAGTTATGTTTAACATCACATTAGTATGTCTGGTACTTCCCTACCCCATCATCTTTTACCATTTGTTTTTTTCTTTTCCTTCACTATCTCTTTGAATGCATGGCTTTCCGAGGAATTTTAGCACTTGGGTTGAAACGTCCTGGCAAATCTGTTTGTGCTTGATGCTTCGCATTGATTTCTGTCCACTGCTATTAATAGGTTTTTTTTCTTCCAATCTGTCCAAATGAAAAAAAGATTTTTAAATTAAATTCTTCGTTTTCCTGTCCCATTTGAAAAGCAAACGTAGTTTCTGATCCTGGATCAGAGCATGGATTGTTCTGGCTTCCAAGTAAGAAGTCTGTAATTTAAAATGCTTTCTCTTGTATAAATACAAGAGATTTCTTAGCTTAACTTTTCACTTTAAATCGTTACTAACTTGTTAGACTAATTAGCTTTTGATACTTTTATACGCAGCCCAACTGTGTGGACAATTTATTACAGAAGAGAGAGGCACGTGTTCTACCAGTAGCAGCGGCCCAAAGAGGCGCTAGGACATCTGACTGCCGACCAAAGGTACAGTTGCTGTGGAACTGAAGTATAACGAATAGTGTTCCTTAAATTTCAAGTCAAAGGTTTACTATTTGCAGTATATTACAATAAGTCCTAAGAACTATTTAACCAGTCTCATAATGGGGTTCTCGTCAGTTGTTAGTACATTGGTCTGGGGGAAGTTTCCCATTAAGAGTTTGAAACTCAAATTTTACAATACAAAAAGAAGACTAAAGATACTACATCAGAATATCCATTTTCGGTTGACAGAGATTTGTGCAAGAACACTTTATTGCTGCTGAGTTGCAGGGGTGCAAGAGAAAGAGAAAAAAGCATAGACATTTCTTTTCTCTTCTGCAGTTTCCAACAGATTCTTTTTGTTGTATGTATGAAAAGTACCTGTATGGATTGTAGATAGCTCCAGAACAGTACTTACGTTCAGTTAATGATAATTCCAATGTATTGCATAGCCTGTTGCGTTTCAAGGGCACCAAGTAAAGGGATCAGCAGCTAGTGAGATAATGTTGAGAGCTCCCTGCTCACAGCTAGGATGGCAGCAGTACCCAGATCATATGGAGTTTGCAGCTGAGAGATTTTTGTCACCCCTCTTTTCAAGGGATTATGTCCTTTCTGACTTCAGACAGGTAAACATTTTTTCAATATTCTTCTTAGCCTTAGTGCAAGAAAGTACCCTGTAAACATAGGATAAAAGAGACTTTGTTTTTAGAATATTACAATCACACCGAAACCAAACGTAAGAACCAAACGTAAGAACCAAACGTAGTGCTTTGCAGTTAAAACTTGGCAGTTAGGCAATTATTTTTACTCATCTTCGTCATAGGAGTATGCATTTGCAAGATGTAACTTGGTTTTTTTTCCTCTGATCAGTTTCGCTTTGAAAAACATACATGGTCTTAATGTCTGCTAATAAATGGAGAGAGATTTCTTCTAGAGAAAAGTGGCAGAGGGCTTGTATAATGATTGTTTCCTGGGGTTAGCGGTATGATATTCACCTCAGTTGGGTTTGAAATTTGGTATATAATTGTTAGAGTGTTCCAAAGCAAGGGTTAAAGCTTACTCTTGAGTTATGATTTCGTTCCTCCTGGATGCGAAGAAACATGGCATGCAACATTAAATAAAATATTTTTTTCTAATGCGGTATATATTTTAGTATTTAAAATAATGGAGGAAAATCAATATTTAATTTTTTACTTCCAGAATGGGCTAGAGATATTGAAGAATTATATCTAGAAAAAAGAATTAGAAATAAGATATTTAGAAATGAGATTCATACAAAGATAATATTTAAAAGGAGGATCGACAGTTTAATTTCTAACAAGCTTTTGCTTAAACTTTTTTTGGTAAAGTCCCCAGGTTCACGAAGTCTTCATGAGGATGATATCAACTTTATCAGAGAAGAGAATTTTCAAAAGCAGTCTGACGTTATTGAGAAGTCAAGAAGAGATGAGTCCCGTAAGTGAAAGTAAAAGTAGAATGGCAGCAGTCGGCCCCAGAACAATTATTCTGCATGACTCCTGTCCTTTGCGTATTTTTCCTAGCATTGGCATTGACGGTGTATTCTGAAGTTCCACCGTGGACAATGTCAGGCTCGCCTTCGCGTTCGGAGTTGAGGCAAACGCAGTGGACTTCATGGGAACCTGACAAGGTGTGAATTGACTGTCTCTTCTAGAGCTTTTTGGGTTTATTTCCTGTGTGTTCATGGTAGCAATTGCTTATTTTTGAAACTCTCCTCTTGGCTCTGAGAGACATTTCAATTGTTTAGAATGATGAGAGAGAGAATAGTGACAGAAGAACTATAATCAAGGGTTTTTTTTTTTTCCAGTCGTTCACTTGACGTGTTAATTCTTCATCTGTAGATGATTTCATCAGTAGAACTGGCTTCCTCACTTGATCCAGACTCTACAAGTTCTCCAGCTTCAGGAAGCGAGGAAACTATTGGAGACATGCAGGAGCCCCTGATACACAGGATCTTGCCAAGCAAACCGGAACTTTCAGAAATATTTTTCAGTAAGAAATTATAGTTTATAATTGCACTTTACAATATTTTTGCTAGAAAATCTTTGAGGGTTTTTGAAGCACAGTGAGTTGCACTACAAAAGTTACCCTGGGTGCTGAAATACGCTGAGATGTGTCTGGGTAGCTACAGAGTTTGATTTGTGTTTATCACACATTTTTCATAGGAGGGTGTGTTACTTTTTTAAAGCACGATTTTAAGCAGCGTTTCCAAATCAGCTGAATTTGCTTTGAATTCCATGCCCCCGCCCCCCCCTTATATTCTCCTGAAAGAGACTTCAGAAGAGTGATTTAATTTTATTAAGAAAAATCAGCTTCTAGTCCGGGGGGGGGGAAAGGCTGTAAGCTAAGCTTCTAATTCCTACTAATGTTTTCATTTATTTCCCGGCTTTTAGTTTTCTTCCATATTCAGCTGTCCTCTGACCCACTTCCAGCTGACACCTATCAATGACTGTCGTTTGTTATTGATGGTGAATTTAGTCAAAAGGATGCTTGTGGTACTAGAAGCCTGATTATCTACATTGGTTAATATGAATTGACACAGTTTTATGGGCGATCTTTTTGGGGAAAGGAGCAAATGTTAAGCTGTTGGGTTTCCAGTTGGCAGCTGTTACTGACCTACCAAGCGTTACCAGATTAAAGACCTCCAAAACACAGTCATGTTTAAACAATTTCTACTATACATTTTCTTTTATACAAGTAGAATGCCTACAGAAATGTCTTCTGAATATCGGGATTTAAGTGTTAAAAGAATCACAGTCAAAATCACTCGTGTCATATGGAAATCTTGTGTGGTACTGCATAGGCATGATATAAAGAGCTTGCCAATTAGACAGGATGTAAAAGGAAGGACTTGGAATTCTTTCCTTATCTTAGTTTTTTGTCCACCTGAAGTTAATGTGCCATCCCTAAGTGCGACAAGGTGCTTGTAAGGTCTATTTGCCCTACAGCGCAGGAGAAATCCAGCTCTCGAGAGGAATGCAACCTCTCAAGATTCGAACCTGCAGTTAAGCCACGAACTCCATTTGTCACTCTTCCTGCCACTGTGAAGATTCCTGACGCAGTTTGTCCAACTGACAGCGAGGAGGTCCGGCAATCTTTCGGCTCTTCAGTACTCAATTTATGCAACGAGTCAGCGGAATTTCCTCTTAGTGCTTTTGGCCCCGAGGACAGAAATTATGAAACCTCTGTGTTTGGAGAGTATACGGAAGACGGACAAAGGGAATCTGTGCAACCACTGTTCCCTAATGTGACTTCACAATATAGACAAAGCAAGTGGCTAAAGTATCAAAACAGTGCTCAGAGTGACTTGGTAACTCAAAACAGCGATGATAGCGAAGTGACTGATGACATCTGTGCTGAGAATGTCCTCGGAATGCTGCCGGGCGACATAGGAGAGAGCAGCGCTGTGAATAAAAGTGCTCCCGGCTCTGCGCCTCTCCAGACAGCAAAGAGCGTGCTTGGTAAACGCTGTGCGAATACCAGCAACCAAGATTTGATTTCGGAGAGGAAGTTACTTTCTCTGCACTTAAGTCAGACGCCTTTGGCTGAAGCGACACAAAAGGTGTTAAGTCATCTGAGCTGCCGCACCGTAACCGGAGACGGCCAGGTGCGTAACTGTTCAAGCCCATACAGTTATAACTGACAGAAACGCGTTTTTCTGGACAAAGTAACTGCGTTTATCTGATTTCCTGCAGGATATTATCAGTACGATTAGATGAAATGTTTCCACACAGGTAGTAACACAAAAGAGTCTCAGCTACAGAACAGCAGCTGTTAATGTATTTTTTGAAGTGCCGTGACTAATCCTTTGTAAAGGTGTAATTCCTTGGCGCACACGGTGCCAGATTTAGATTTTAAATCTGAATGTTGATGGCAGGAAGATTAAGTAAAAGCTGTTGGGCTATTTTGTCATCTGGAATTGGTAAGAATGTGTTTGCAAGAAGTGTTTTTCTTAATTGTGAAATCAGCATTGTTTTAATGAACACCCCTATCTGGTTTCAAAGCATAGTCTCTGATTTTAAAATATTTTAAATTTCTTCAGTTTTAATTGTGGAAAAGTAAGTTATAGCATTGAATAAGCACCTAAAAAATTAGCACAGCTGTTTGTGACCAGCAGACTGTCTTAAACAAATGGAGTCAATTGGAAGAAAAAAAACAACCCAAAAAACCACAAACCAACCACAGTCAAATTTTAAAAGTTGTCAAATGGCTGCGCTTGAGAGTTAATGAAAATGTTAGATTTTTTTTTTTCCCTTTGTTTTTTCAATGCAAACTTAGGATGCTGTGTTTTCTAGTTCTTTAAAACTGTTTGTACCATAAAATACTAATGTGAAATAGAGGTGTGGAAATAACTAGTATATTTCAAATACACATTGTGTGTTGGCAGCCCAAGCTCTACTGTGTAGCTCCAGGTGTACTTAATTTTACTCCTGTGAGCAGTCCTATTGAATACGTGCTTCTGTACTTACAGCAACAAAGCCCGCAAACATTTGTGGTGAAGGGGAGTTGTGTTTTGCTTTTAGAAAACTGATTCTTCGTTGACTGTCTTCATGTTGAAACTTCTGGTTGCAGAATGAGGCCCTGAATTTTTACTCTTTAGTTGTACTTATTAATGAGAGCACAATATATAAAAGCAAAAAGGAAAAAGAGAAGAAAAACGGGTCGGTTTTGGCATATCTGTAACAGTAGCCATTTATCAAAACTGGTCTCATTCAGGGTTTTGCAGGTTTTAATGGCTTATTTTTCTGTTTTTTAGGACACCGTGATTTCCGAGTTGTCTTTTCCTAATGTGGACAAAGTAAAATACGCTAATCTTCCTAAAAGACAGATTTCCATACCAACGGTGTTTCAGTCTCATGTTCACTACAAACAGGTTTTTAAAGCTGCGCTGACAGGTAGGTCTAACGCCACGCTCTGTAAAACGCTGTCACTTCTAACCGGTGTGTTTCTGAAGCTTCACAAAGCAGAATGAGAGGGAGAGAAAACATAAACATCATCTATTGCAACAACTGTGCGCTTTTGATTTTGGATATATATACTGAAATATATTCAGTCGATACCCAAAATTGCAAAGACAAACAAAAAGACCAGTACGCTTCTGTTCAACTGTGTAACCTTGTGCCTGTTTACCAGTCCTTAGGTTCCTATCTAAGCTTTTTTTCTTTTACAGTTATTTAGTGTTTGGATCATTTGGAGTTATATACTTCAACGTGATTTGAATGAAAATAAGGCAGTTAGAACAAATTAATTGCATGTGCAATAGGTGAATTTTGGCAGGTCCTACGGTTTCTTTTAGGACTCATGAAATATTTTGATTTAGGTTTGGGATTGAAAGTTTCAAATGAAAATGTATTTGTTTGAACGTTGGGTACTTGCGTAACCATTTTAAGGCTGTACTAATTATTCTTTCGTTCTCCTTTCTATGTCAAGAGCAATTAAACATCGTGCTATTTGAGTTGTCACAAAGATTACACAATGCTCTTTCAAAAGCGGATATATCCTTTTACACTTCACTGAAAGACGGGCAAAGTGAGAGCAAAGAAAGCTGCGTTCCACTCTGCAGTCACATGCATCCCGCTAAGCTTGTTATGGTTAAAAAAGAAGGTCAAAACAAGGTGCTGTTTATTCCTTGTTTGTTTACAGTTTGGGGTGTTTCTTTGGCGCATAGACTGTATTGTGCGAACAGTTACAGGGCAACTCTGTATGATTAACAATTGCAGGTTAAAGTGATGTGTTACAGAGATCACTTTTCAGATCAGTTGTGGTATCCACCAATGTCCAGAATTGTTGCTGTTATAGTTTTCTCCACACAGAGACAGCTTTAGATACGCAGAAAGACCTGAATTTGTAATTTTCTAGGTTGTAGGGGATTTCTGCAAGGTATGATTACACACACTGGCTTCAGAAGCTGAGAGTTCTGGGAACACACTTGTGTTTTTCAGCCAAACACAGTGAAAACACAAGTGCTGATCTGATTATTTCTGTAGCAGGGAGTACCGGTCCGTTGCTTTACATTTTTTTGTTTTGCTTGTTTGTTTTAATGTACTAATGGTCATCTTTGTTTGTTTTTTTTCCCCCCTCCCTTCCTAGGGTCGTTTGTTCTATACCTGTGATGCCCCAAAAGCTGAGCGGTGTTCGTTTTTCCAGTGGATAGAAGATGCGAACCCCACACAGATAAAATCCAGACCTAGTGTAGTGCTTCGCGATATAAAAAGTATCGGGACGTACCTCAGAAGTCAAAAGATTTCTCTCTATGAGGGATGCCAGCTCTTGGTGAGGTATTCTGAAACGCTGTGCCCTTTTCGCAAGTCCTGTGTGAATTGCAGGATTTAGACATATTCCAGTAGCGCTGGATTGCAGTAGCATTTAACAGACGCTTTCACTAACTACGTTTAAAGAGGCTACAGTTCCCTGTAGAAATGTAAAAGCGAAGGAATAATATTCACAGCAATGGCATTTCAGGTCGGCGCTCTTATCAGCAAGAATCAAAACTGCTTACCAGCAACCTGATCTTCATGAAATCCCTCGTGACTGTTGCATTTGAATTGCTGTTCATTAAATCTTTAATAAGAGAATTTGATTTATTCTCTTACTGATTCTAATTTCAATGTTAGAAGTTGTACTGAAGGCTATTCTGTGCTGCTTAACTGTAGGGGAAACAATTTAATTATGGTTGAATATGAGAGAAGTATTTGCAGTCAAGATAAATGTATTTAAAACGTGGTAATGTAAGACGATGAACAACCACCGAGATCTGCGCTGTATAATTTGGTCCAATCTGTGGAGCTTTCTTATTTTTGGTGGTGAATCCAAAATGTGCCGATTGTTTACATCCTACTTCTTAAAATTACAATTTAACAGGAAAGCCTTTGAAGTTCAAACACAGCGGTGTAGTAGGTTCAAGAAATTTACGAATACGCCTGCCAGATTCGATGGTGATTGCAAAAAAAAATTATACCTCAAACTAAGCAGAAAGGAGCATTATTCTCTCTATAGCAAAGGTAAGTAAATCTTAAGCATCAGAAGAATTGTCCGTGTCGTGTTGTGCTTTTTTCAAGTTTTAATTTGTAACCTAAAGAGAAAAACTGATTCTATTTTTAAGCTCCTGGCAACCCTGATAATTCAGTTCTCATTCTAGAAGGGCAATGAAGTATCTCATTAATTCATCTTTTCTTGGAAATGTTCAGCTACCTTAGAAAAATGTAAATTCCACGTCCTTGGGTTCGGAGTGTATTAAATTTGTGAATCGTGAAGCTTCAGGAAAGCCCAGTGTTCAAATAGATGATATTTAAGGAAAACTTGATGTAAAAATGGGTGTTTCAGTAGTTGTTGCATGTCTCTTCTAAATTATTGAGATGTCACAGAGTTGAGGACACTGGGTGATTTGATCCAGACAGGCTCAATAGTTCATTTGACTTCAGAAATTTTGGAACTGATGCCCATATCCTCCTAGTTTGATCACTTTGCTGTTGAAAATGATAAGAAGGAAATGGGGCAGAAACAACCGTGTTGGTCTACGCACACTTTATTTGCAGGCTGAAACGTTCTCACAAATCAGGACTTTGTCACTTGAAATTCTGAAGCTCTGCATGGGCAAAACTTTCACTCGTGTATGACAGGTTTCGATCATTTTTGTTACGGGCAAATACATACGCACCGTTATTGCTCCTAGCTTTGAAATCTCCCTTGCTGCGCTCTGCAGTATGTGGAATAGGAGCAGCGTAGTGAGCTTTAGTCTCATCGGGTGGGCCAAATAAAACAGAACATTGGCGGGCTCCGGTATGTGTTGGTTTTGAAAGGGAAGGCAAAATGTCCCTTTATTTCAGTACTTGCTATTCTTTGGCAAAAGCCTTGTTAACCAGATTTGTAGTATGCTTCAGTGATTTGTTCCAAATACTCTCAAGATGGATAATACTCCAGCTCTGTCAGAAGTCAAATGCCGCTAGGTGCACCAGGAGAGAACTTGACAATTACCCTCGATTTCAGCAAGTCAGTACTAAAAGAATTGCAAATTATTCACTCACTCTTTTAGAACTGAACCAAGACTTGTTTAGGACTTTCTAATGCTCCCTACTTTCACGTTAGCGGTGGTTTAATTTGCAGCATAGTAAATACTGAGCTATTTTGTTCCAGCTTCATTTTCTTCCAAGACGGCAATAAAAGAAGCTTATGAGAACTCTGTATTTCTTTTGACAGATGATATCTGGGTTGTTTCGAAGACTCTGAACTTCGATCCCCTTGATACTTTCATTGCAAGTAGTGCTTTCTTTGGACCATCCTCCAACGGCGAAGTAGAATTACTACCACTGAAAGGCTACTGTCCCTCAAACTGGCGATCAAATAGTGAGTTCTACGCCAGAGAAGTCGGAACTGTGGGAAACAACTATTGAGGGAAAAATCTGTTCAGCCATGAAGGATGAGATTGGAATTTCTGAAATCTAATACCTCATTTTATTCACAGTATTTTTTTCCCCTTGTATTTTGGAATATGTAATTTGAATACAGTACTTAATGCAATTAAACCCGCAAAGTAGCGGGTAAGAAATTCTAAATGGGCGATGAAGAAATGAGGATAATATAAATAAGCTAGTAAATAATGCAAATTGACTGTCAGAGCATAGGTAACAGCAATATGTTGTTGCTCTCCTTGAGAAACAAATAAACAGAAACCCCAAACGACTCACTATGGAAAATTTGTATTTCTATAAAAAGCCACGTATTAAGTCTGTGATTTGCCTGTCCTGATGTTCCTTTCTGTGCCTTTGTTGCTACAGTCTGGAATGACCAAAAAAAATGGTGTTTCAAAATTCAGAAGAAACGAATCTGTCTAGTTTTAGTTATTTTCATCATTGTATTTTAAAAAGAAAATATTACTAAGCCTAGCACTGATGGTTTTTAATGAACCGCTGACCTTTTTATTCGTTAGCAAGCTGTTCCCAACTAAGTTGCAGCCATCCTTCTTTTTGGTTTTAACATTTTTGTTTGGGGTATTTTTGTAAGATTTTGTCACCAGTGTTTTGGAAACAGTATGATTAGTGGGCCTTAAGTGCAGAGAGAGACAGTGCGGGTCTGCGACAGATGTCACAGAAAAATGACAAATGTGCTGCCAAACATAATGCAAAAATTGTGGTTTTGCTGTTGAATTGAGCTCAAGTTTTGGTTTGGTTTTGTTTTGTTTTGGTTTTTTTTAAGAGAGAAAGAATGCATTATGTAGGCATTCCGGAGCTAGTAATAATATACGTCTGCTTACGTTCTTTTAATGCAACATGAAAATTGTGTGCTTGATCGCAGAAGGCTTTATTCATAGCACTTAAGCAGGTAAATTGAGTGTTGTAAGTTAACAATTTGGTCTTTTTAGGCTTTCTGTGTAATCATTAGGGAGGGAGTTCCTGCAAAGCACGATTCAGTGAGACTACGTTAAACTCCTGTTCTGAATTACCTTCAGAAGGCTAAAAAATACAGGGGGAAAAAAAAATACAACGGCACCCAGGTTCTTTGTGGGCGTACATGCTAGCAAAATCCTGGGCTTCAAATGCAACTGGAGGTTGAGTTTTGTTTGTTCCCTGAGTGTGAATTGCAGGACTGGATCTTTTGAGCAGTCAGAGTCTGGAAGAGTTAATATATAGCTTTTCAGTCTTAATGCTGTCAAATCACGGCATTTTATTTTTTCTTAGGAAATTGTTGGTTCCTAACTTTCCTTGTGATCATAAATACAGATTATTTCATAATTCTAGAGCCATTAGAAATCTAAACGCCTAAGTTGTAAGAAAATAAAGCTTTAGGTAATGTTTAGTTGTTGGCAGTGATAAACAGCAGCAAAATAGAGGTATGGGGGCTACTAAACACATTAGAAACCTGTTACTTAGGCAGTCCCTGAGCCCGGGACCTTAGGAGACTGGCAGTGAATTCAGGAAAATATAATTGAATACTTATTCTGTTCTTATCCTCTCCCCTAGCCATCTGCTTCTGTACACCTGGGAAACAGGTTAGATGGAACTTGAGTCTGGCCTGCTGGAGGTGTTCCTATGTTCCCGTCTTGGCTTTTTTTAAACATCTGCTAAGCTATTGTGATACAGGTGGTTTACTTAAAAAAAAAATCACCTCCTAAATTCCAAAGCCCTCTAAATATCTCGAGTGTTTCTGAAGTGAGTAAGGATTTTTCTCTAAGCTCCCTTCCCAGCAGGTTCCTAATGTTGGGCTCACAAATACTTGGAAATAACACACCTTGAAAAGAAGGGCTAATAGGTCTCTCCTCATCTATAATATTCAGTCAGACGTGGTAATCGGGTTAGCTTGCTTTCTGTTATAGGAGGCTAATTACTCTTTTGTTGGCATTTTGTAATTCATTTATCTAGCTGATTTGAAAATTTGGCTATTTTCATTGTTTCCTAATTGTATTTTTCTGTGGCCTTTTCAGTGTTTGTTCATGCTTTGCTGGCTTGTAATGCTAGTGGTGAGCTTACATCTTTAAGAAATATGGAGGAGCACTTCAATCCATCTGCATTACCACTAACACCATATCTACTAAAAATGTAAGTCACTCTTTCGGTGATACTGTGAGCCTATAATGTGTCAATAGGTACAGAAAAAAACCCAACAAAATACCATTGAGTTTGCCCGATTAAGAAGTGGATGAGGAAAACTAAAATCGGAAAGACAGTGCAAGGAATGAACCGTGGACAATGCAATTCTCATTTATGTGGAAATGAAAATATATAGGTTGCTTACCTCTAAGTCAATCGTAAGGTTTTTTTCTTAAAACTTATCTGCAGCCCACATTTCACAACCTAGCCATTAATATTGGGCATTATTATGACCATTAGACTGATAGCATGGTCACCGGCTGATCTGTATTAAGTTAACGTATATGCTTCACAGGGGTTCAGTGGAACTGGTTTTCCTTCCCAGTTTTTAGAGTCACCTGACACAAAACCTAAAAATAAAACGTTTTCTTGGAGAATCGGTGCAATATAGGGATATTTCCAAGACTGCTAACGATTCACTGTATAAAACAAGGGATTAAATGAATCCCTGCTACCTCTGACTACCTCCTGCTACCACTCTTCATTCTGTCAGTCTTGCGGCCTTGGAGGAAGTCAGATTGAAAGCGTTAACATACAGCAAGGAGGATAAAACCCAAAAGCCTGTTTCCTATGATCCAGCTGTCGCCCAGGGAAGTAATAAGGGGCAGGAATATACAGCCCCGGTGTATGGCAGGGGGCAGGGGCAGCAACTTTTAATCATGTCAGCTGTTAATCATAAAGCCTCAGCATTTCAATGTCAGGTGAGTGAGAATATCAGAACCGTGACATACAAATTATACGTATGCAGTATTATAGCGCAACTTTGGACCGTTGTATTTTTCTTAGGGATTTTGATTCTGAAAATGCTGCTAAGAGAGTCAACAAAAGAAAATTTATTCCACCTGCCATCAGCCTGAAATGCACAATGACGTATGGGCCTGTCAGCGCTGAAGTGGCCCTGGGACTAGCGACAAAGATGATCCAAACGTTCTCGTTGAACCCAGATCAAGCTACGTCACTGATTCAGATAGCTCAGATGATGACCTCACGTGGAAATATCAAACCAGTGGAAGAACATCAGATCTTCCCTATCACGATCATACGTGGTATATAGCAAATAATTGTGACGTTTGCTGCTACTGTATCTTTGCAAAAATGCTAATTAATATGTAATGCCAATGTTAGTGAAAACATCCCTAAAATCTCTCAGTGATGAAACAGTAGACTTGTTTCCTTAATCATATATTTACAATTCCAGGCAGACTTAAAGGGAGATTCTTAGGTCTAGGTAAATGTTGACTTATTTTAAACGTAGCACAAAAGACGAGCTTGAATAAACTTCCTCTGTGTATGGAATATCCTTTTAAACTCTCTTGTAATGCTGCTGTCCTCACCTACTTCATGCATTTCCTGAGAACTCCTTTCTTGGATGAGGCCCCTCTGCCCACGACCTTGACATTATAACATGCATTCTATCAGCACAGAGCTTTTGATCCTTCAATTTGCATCCTGCCTTTTTTTGCAGGCTTTTACACAAGTAGAGAGTTCTTTCCTAGCAAGATCTATGCACAAAATCAGAGTTATTTAGTGTCTTCTGCTTGTTTCTTTTCATGTTAAAACCACTTTTTGTCATGTATCCGCTTTGCTAAATTATCATATAAATTTTTTTTTCTATGACATGCTATTTCTTGCTGTTTTATACTTTCCTCTATCTTTGTTTTAGCCTTTTTCAACATGTACAAAAAGGCTAGTAAGATCTTAGGTCAAAGATTTATTTTTTTTTTTACATCAGTATTGAAAAGCAGTTAGCATAAACGTAAGTTTTGAGATCCTGTCAAAGCAAATGCGTTGGCAATAATGACGCTCTTAGTACAGATACCACTGGACTTAAATTGCCTGAGCTTTTGTTAGGCTGTCAGGCATATTAATCTAGTGAAAACTATTAGTCATTGCAAAATAATCATCGCTCAAATTCCTTATTCTATACCTGAGGACACGGTATGAGGGATGTGCATGCAGATACTTGTATAATTTAATGTATATTGATAAGACTCCTTAGCAAGTAATGCACGTATTCAACCAGAAAATTTAGGAAAAATACCTTGGCTTCTCCTCTTCTGTAGTTTTTTTATCAACTTATTGCGGGCAGTAAATGTGAAGCGCAAGGCACCTGGTTGCCCCTGGATACTTAGAGCTGCTGAAGCAAGCACATGCAATGTTTTTACAGGAATCGCAGCATAATATTTCATAAGAGAAGCTATAACAATTGATTAAAACTGTACTTTCTAGAAAATTTTCACTTGTAACTTTGGCTTTTTCTTCCAATATACCAGGGGTTTTTGGAGCTGGGAAGAGCTATCTGCTGTCTGTTGTGATCTTGTTCCTAGTGCAGCTCTTTGAAAGCAGCGAAGCTACGGAGGGTCCGAGGCCAGCTCCATGGAAACTTCTGATCGCTTCTTCCACTAACGTTGCCGTTGACAGGATACTGCTGGGGTAGGTTACTGACATTTTTACAGACTATTGTTCCAAAAACAATAACGCACTTCTATGGTGAAGATAACTGCGTCAATGTTTCCGGTATAGCGCTTCAAGAAGATTGCGTTCTTTCCCTGGAAAGCGTCACACGCGGGCTTTAATTTTACATTTGCTCCTTTGCACAGCATGCATGCACTAAAAGACTCTAAGCCTAGCTGCGCAAGTTTACATGAGACTATTATTGGGCTCTAGCCTCATCAAATTTAGTCTTAAAATCCATCACAACAGAAAGTAGTATTGCTCGGGAATGGTTAGGAAGTAGCAGTAGGGGCAAGGGAAGGAGGGATGGAGAGAGAGGGAGAGGCAGAGAGAGTCAAGCTTGGGAAGCTTCAGCGCGAAGCTAACATGAAATAAAACGCATTGTTTGGAAGGATAAAGGAAGGAAGGGAAAGTACAAATGGAAGGCTATTTATGAGAGGAGAATCAGAAAGGCGTTAAGCATCTTTGAGGCAAATCATGATTGCTTCGATTTACTTGAGTTGTGGCTTGAGTTACTTCATCTGGTTAATCGCAGAAGTTTGAGTTCTGACGTGTCTGTTAGCCTTTTTAGGACCACTTTTAAATTTTTCAAAATTTCCTTTTACATGTCTGTAACATGTAGCATCTCTTTTTCTTTGAAGTCTACTTGATCTTGGATTTGAGGATTTTATCCGAGTGGGAAGTATTAGGAAAATCACCAAAGCAATTCTTCCCCACAGGTAAGAATCCTCATCTTTGAGGGATCCGAGGCGATTCTAAGATTCACGATAGTACGCATGCGGTAAAATTACTATTTTGAAGTAAATTAAAATGGGATTGTAATATGCCTATCCCGGGCTTTCCTCCTCCCTCTGCACAGTGGAGGAGGAAATTCCCTTGATTTGGGAATGTCACTTCTTGCTGACAAGAGCTAAATGGGAAATAGTAGAAGAGAACAAAATAATGGCAGTTACAGACTGGGGAGTTTACACAAGGAGGAGAAGCAAAACAGCCTGGAAATAGATATGTACTGCTGCAGCGATAAGAACTAGGAGGAAGTAATCATAAATTTGATGTTCAGAGAACTAACGGTAACAACTCATGAATTCTGTACTACTTACCCAAGTTACCTTTGCTATAGTGCTCTGGAGTTTGCCCTTTAACTACTTAAAAGTAAGCAATCTACATAGTACTGTCGACGCAATTTGAGAGAACAAAGTAAAGTTCAAGATGAAGAAAGATTCAATTTCCATTCCTTGGTGGCAGTAGCACCCCAAGGGCATAAAATGGTATAAGAATGAAAAACAACTCCTCGGTTCTGCTCCACTCTGAAATCAGGCGTGTACTTGGAGAAGTCATTTCCTACGTGTGTGTCTCTGATTGGGCTGGTAGGATCCCAGCTGGTGGGATAAAAAGCTGTTTTGAAACAGGTATTCGACTAGTCTCTCTCAGCTGGATTCGGGATAGGTTAGTATGTTGTTGTTGAGTACTCTTACGTATAAAGTATGATTGGTTTTCTATATTGGGTGTTCACCCAACACTGAAACACCGTTATTTTCAGTCATTGTAATGCATGTTATAACATCTTTTTCAAGTTTACACGCTGGCTCGGGAAATGAAAACGAGCAGTTAAAAGAGCTGCTTGCTCTCATGAAAGAAGATTTAACTCCGGTTGAAAAAATGTACGTCAGGAAGAGTATTGAGCAGCACAAACTGGGGACCAATAAAACTATACTGCAACAGGTACAGTCAAAATGACGGGATGGGAAAGTGGGGATTCGCTACATCTCACCCACAAGGCCCAGCAAAGGGAAACTGGGAATCCCCTCGCACACTTGCCAAGCTCCTAGTTTTGAAAAATAAAATGAATGTTAGGACTAGGACAGGCTTGATTCCACAGGTGTAGCTTAGCGTCTTACCTTCTCTGACTTGAACTTGCAGTTCCTGTTGAGTGATATGAGACAGAAACCCTCTTTGAACTGTACTGCAATCTGATTTAATATTACCAATCTAGTTTACAAGGTGGGGAGAGAAAAACTTCTGAGCACAGCTAGTCTGCACTGTCACCTTGAAACGAAGATGTATGTAGTCATAAAGGTCAAAGATAAGGACTGAGCTAAAGCTATCCTAGAGTTGAGTATCCGCTGCCAAGAAGAGTTCCAATATATTTTAAGTAACTTTTCATCAAAGTGTTACATTTTAAGATTACCGCTTCCTGTAGAACAATATTCTCCATTTCTGGTCTTTCCAGTTATTTGCCTTTTCTCCTCAGTCCTAGACTCAAAAAATCCCAGCTTGTTGGAGAGCAATTGTAACAAAGCAGATCGGAGCAATTTGTTTCTTGTGCTTATTCCTAGTGGTCATTGCTGCCGCTTTGGCTGCTGGGGCTCGGAAGGTTTTGGAGGATCGTGTAATCTGACCTCTCTCCGTACCAGACCAGATCTGGTCTTTAAAATAAATGAATCTGTGAAAGATTCTAATGTATAACCACCCCCAGCATCAGAAATGGTAACCTTGGGTCCGTCTCCGTGCACACACAGTGCTTTTCACTGGAAGTTAGAATGTAATTGTTTGAGACCCAGCGAGCACGCCGCCGCATGCAGTAGAACTGCTAAAAATGAACGTAGGTGTATTCTCCTTGCCGAAGCTGTAGTTATGTACTGCACAGAGATGAACTATGAAATGATCTTAACTTTTTTGTCTACTCATTTTCCCCTCGCTAACGACAAAGGTGAAAGTGGTTGGAGTGACCTGTGCTGCCTGCCCCTTCCCTTGTCTGAACTCTCTGAAGTTCCCCGTAGTGATGCTGGATGAGTGCAGTCAGATGACGGAACCCGCTTCGCTCCTTCCTATCGCAAGGTACGGCCTTCCTTTTGTGTTCCAGCAGAGGAGTGACTTTTCATTAGCAGTGGCACAAGCTCAAATAATTGCCAAACTTGCCGTCTTTTTAAGCACGTGAACTCCGAGGTCTTGCCTTAGAAAGCAAGAAGAGGAATTTTAAATCGAGGCCTGCTTTTAGGTGCCTTGAGTTACCCTGTTCTTTTAACTGTGGGAAGAGGCTGATGGAGAAGGGAGCCTGACAGAAAGCAATCTGTGATATATAAACACAGCACACGCTTCCGTTAGAATAGTTTGACATCCTTTTCAGAACCTGTTTTTCTTAGTTTTTAACATTCTTATGTAGGTTTCAGTGCGAAAAGCTAGTCCTCGTCGGAGACCCTAAGCAATTACCACCAACTATTCAAGGGTCTGAGAGTGTTCACGAAAAGGGATTGGAGCAGACGCTCTTTGACCGGCTTTGCTTAATGGTAGGTACTACTAACCACGGCTTTAGGAAAGATGGAGGGTGAAATTGTAGGTCCGCTGAAGTCACTACAAGAGTTGTGATTTAGATGGCAGAGCTTCGGTGTTTCAGCCTGTTTTGTAATGAAGCTGATGCCCTTCTAGCGCGTTTCTCTGTAAATGTTGTTTTCACGGTGGGCAGCAATTTGTAAGCATAACGAATGTAAAACAAGAATGGATTGAGAAACACGGACGGATTCTGCCTGCTGATCTTTTTGTGCCGTCTTCAATCCAGGCAGAAGCAGCAGGGGCTACAGTATTTGGTCTAATTTTTGTTAAAGTGAAGGTATGAAGGTTAAGCCAGCTTAGTGCGGGCATTGTTTCCACTTCTTTCTTGTTTGACCTAGCTGGCGTTGCAAAATATTTAATACTTCTTTTTCCTCGTCACGCTTTCTACATCGTAATTCTTTAGGGACATAAACCAATACTTCTTCGGACACAGTACCGATGTCACCCTGCTATTAGTGCCATAGCCAACGAGCTGTTCTATGAAGGAAATCTGATAGACGGTGTTTCCGCGACCGACAGAAGTCCTCTGTTGGATTGGCTTCCAACACTATGTTTTTATAGTGTTAATGGAGTCGAGCAAGTAAGTTTCTAATCATTTCTAATATAAACAGTCAATATTGTCGGTTTTCCTCCCTTCTATTTCTTTTTGCGTTCTGCTGTTTGTGAGAGCTAAATTGGCAATCTTCTCCCCTATTTCCAGATTGAAAGAGACAACAGCTTTTATAACATGGCAGAAGTCCATTTTACAGTCAAGCTCATCCAGTCTCTGATTGCAAGTGGAATAGAAGGGTCGGCAATTGGTGTGATTACTCTTTATAAATCACAGATGTGTAAGGTGTGTGGAATGTATCATCAATAAAAAACTAGTTTCTAAAATGTGTTTGTTTGTTCTAAACATAGACTCCATTTCAACCGGGAAGAGTCAACTAGAAGTGAGAAACAAACGTTGGATAGGTGAACTAGAGTTTATACCATAGTTACTCCTTCTTATTTAAAAAAAAAAAAAAATCTGTATTTTTTCCTCTAAAATTAGTCAAAATCTTTTAATTCGAGCATAGGATTAACAAAAAATAAACTTTCCATTCGTTTTCCTTCCACATGCACACTCAGAAAATCGGCAAATTAAATAGTACATAAATTTCCTAAACCAATTAGGGGCTGTTAGAAACCGGTGCGTGTGAAACGCGTCACCATCCCTATTCTTCTGTCCCCAGATTCAGAATGTGCTTACTGACGTACGCTCTGAGGCTTTGGAAGTTAAAGCCGTCCAGGTGTCCACTGTAGACGCCTTCCAAGGAGCTGAGAAGGAGATCGTTGTTTTGTCGTGTGTCAGAACAAGACACATTGGGTTCATAGACTCCGAAAAGAGAATGAACGTTGCGCTAACGAGAGCGAGGAGGCATTTGTTGATTGTTGGAAACCTGGCCTGTTTAAGTAGGAACAGGCTGTGGGGAAGAGTAATTCATCACTGCAAAGGTAATATTTCCTTTTCCTCTATTTTTGAAACCAGGCAGCTCATCTTTAATTAAACGACGTATAAAACCCTTCATATAGTGTAGTGGGTATGTATTAGACATACTATATAAAGTATATAGTATGCATACGACATAAAACAGTATATTTATTACATACAAAATACGGTATGTTGCGGGAAAATGCAGGTATTTGTAAGCGTGCAAGTTGCCTGCTTGCGGTTTTATCTGCAAACTGTTTTTACGCTTGAAGGATATTTGTTATCCAGTAATGGGACTTCTTTTTTCTTCTTCTGATGCCATCCGCTAGCTACACAAAGAGCTTGCTGGGAAGGAGAGCTGAAACCCATTCCTGCCCTTCTAGTCCTTTCCCAGTTGGCTTTGACGTGGTAGACCCCGGCAGAAACAAATTACACACCAATTCTTCTATACAGCAGTATTTCTGAATAGATAGTACTTAAATAAAAGGAAGAGAAATGCATAGCGTCTTTCGGCAACTAGGGGCTGATTGCTTTTGGAAGATAAATTTTGAGCTGCTAGAAAAAAAAACCACAGTGCTATAGGAGATCAGCTAACTCTGCCGAGTAATTCCTGATCGCTTTGTTTACAGGTCACTGTCTTGTGAATACACGTGTGTGTTTTATTGGAACGCAGAGGGAAACACAGTTTTCGAAAATGCAGGTTTTTACAGTTTCCATATATTTGCTGTGAAGTTCACGGCAGCTGAGTATTTACACATCCAAAAGCTAATCCTGCTTTAAAAAACAAATGGCCAAACAACCTTACGGTGCCCGTTTCCGCCCCTTGCAGCTTTGCTAGGTGGTGTGCAAAATGCCTGAACAGCCCCTTAGTTGTGCATCTCTTTCCTCCCCGCCGTACACGTCCTTCGGAAGGAGAGGTCGTCGTTTCTCCCTCCGTCGGCACTTGAATCAGTCCCCGCTGAAAGGGGACAGTTCGTATCTCAAAGCATCAGTTATATTTCATCAGAAATTCTTCCGTGGCGATTCTCTTAGAGCTAGAGAAGCGAGAGATGGAATAGCGTCCCTGTCTCTGAAGCGCATTCAATAAATTCCGGCTGAATCCGACTCCCCGGTACCCGCCGAGGCTCCTCCGGGGCGGGGTGCCTCCCCTTTTGGAGGGGGTAGGGCCTTGCCTTAGCAGATACTACACAGGCAGCGCTCACTCTCTAAAGCAACAGATGACTGCAAGAACAGGTGCCAAGACAGTCATTATTTTATCAGCCTGCTTGGTTGATATCAAAGGAAGCGTCTCCTTCACGGCTGAACTCCGAAGAAGGAACAATTTTCCAAGTAGAAATATTATAGCTATTGGATAGGCTTGGGGAAACGGGTCTTGGCATCCCCACCGACTAACGAGGTGGTGGATGCTCTAAAGGGAGATGTAATTATCCTGTTTATTGCTGCTTTTAGGCTGGGAAAATGGATTGCAACATGTCAGCCAGTGTGAGCGGCAGCTAAACGACATTCTTACGTGTTACTTGGAGAAACGGAAGGAAGAGGAGCAGAATAAGAAAAAGGAAAAATAACACCTGTTTTAGAAGAAAATACGATCTGCGTGTCTATAGAAATTATCAGAACGACTGCACATCTAATATTTATATTTAAAGTGGAAATTGTTGTTTGTATCTCAGTGCACTGATAGTTCTGTTTTGACCCCTTGTTTGTATGACCAAAAATGAATAAAGTGACTTTATCTGCTTGATCACTGAAATCCTTTTCTGCTTACAAAGTACCCAATTGCGTTATTAGCGTTTCATTAGTCTTCAGATGAGATAGACACGGAACGCCGTATTTTAGAACAATTCTGTCATCTTGCGCTTTTACAAATCGGTGCCATCTGGGAAGGAGCGTGGCTAAAACAATTAAAAGGATAGAGTAATTTCTTCAAAGAAATATTACATGTCCTTGGTCTACTAAATCTTTGGATGCCGACAAAATGAAACGAGAATGGCTTGACCTATATCTAGATTTTTTACAGGTTTTAGGATAAGGGTCGCTCAGCTGTGTTTTGAAAAGACAAAAAAGCTGAATGATTTTTGGGTTGGAGAGTCCTGTTGTGTCAGACACTCCAAACAGAAAAAAAGTTCATCATCTTTATCGTAGCAAAAGTTTGGCCGTAGGCTATGTCAAAGGTGTGCAGAGGAGGCACAAACGTACGAACGGCGGGGAGAAGCGGGCTAAGCACGGACATTGTAAAATTTCTAGATGCTGCCACGCTGTTAAACTTCTTCCAGAGATTTGGAGGCACGGGGGAGAGCTCTGCCGTAGAGCAGGCGTCCCAACAGCACTGAGGTTACTCAAATGGATCGGTCAGTGAATCGGACCGGCGGGGAGCAGTCTCGCCGAGGGACAAGTTATGTACCCTCTTGTGGAGTTCCTTCATTTTTTCTGTGTTTTGATGGTCCTCGGCTGAGCGAGAGGATACCGGCTTGTCGTTAGGTTATGGTTTTGATCCCGGACAGTAGTTGTTTCCTAGGGATTCAGTGGTACCTACCTTGAAAAAAAAAATGTAGTTTATGTCCATGACGTGCAAGTGTATTCTTCCAGCCGTGAACCGGCGCTTTCGTGCTGGAAAGGCTGCAGTTCTTGCAGAACGTGCCTTCCTCAGTGTGGCGTTTACCCTTCGTAATGAGCCGTAACCCACCGTTCCTATCCCTGCGAAGTCGCAGCTCGTGCTGGACAGCAAAAAAATCGGGATAAAAATCATCACCCGCAGGACCAAGAGGACTGCGTGGGTCAGCTTCTCTGCATTAATTTCACACCTACTCTCCGCGACGGCTAACAGACGTGTAAAAAACCCTAAGCCACCTCATCGCTGTGTTTGGAAACAGGCAAAACGTGGTGTTTAGTATCCGCCTGAAACCCTGTCTGCGCTCTGAGCTGGCAGTCGGAGACGGCTTTTTCAGGCTGTTGCCCCGGTGCTTTTGTAGAGGCTGCCTTTGGGAAGCAGAGCCCGTTGCTTTATGCTCATATTTTATTAGATAAAAAAAGAAAGCCAACCTTACCCTGGGTTGCATGAAGAGCAGCGTGGCCAGCAGCAGGTCGAGGGAGGCGATTCTGCCCCTCTGGTCAGACCCCACCTGGGGCGCTGCGTCCAGCTCTGGGGTCCCCAGCACAGGACAGACGCGGTCCTTCTGACTGTCCTCCGTCTTGCTGTCACCTGGAACAAGCAAAAAGTCTGGGGGAAAAAATCCTACAGCAAATTGGCACTGAGTTACATGTCCTTGGTCTACTAAATCTTTGGATGCTCCCACAGGAGGCTTGGGTTAGTGCGAGATGCCAAAGTGCTCTGCAGTGAGAAAACTTCCTAAACCTTTACCTGCCTGCTCTGTTGACATGCCGTATTCCCAAACCCTGTGCCCTTCTCTTCGTTAACTCTAATTCTTTCATTTTTCACCATCTGATTTGAGTCTGATTTAACATTGCCTGTTCTACCAAAAACGCTCAGAGAGATGGAAGGTGTCTAGGAAGAGGCTGAGAAGTTTGGGGTGGTTCAGCCTGGAGAAGGGAGACCTCGTTGCGGCCTCTCGGTACTTATAAGAAAGATGGGGACAGGCTTTTTAGCAGGGCCTGTCGCGATAGGACAGGGGGTAACGGTTTTAAACTCAAAGAGGGCAGATTTGGACTAGATATAAGGACGAAATCGGTTAGGCGGAGGGCGGCGAGGCGCTGGCCCAGGTTGCCCGGCATGGCGGTCGGTGCCCCATCCCCGCGAACACCCGACGCCGGGCTGGACGGGGCTCCGAGCACCCCGCTCCAACCCGCTCCAAGATATCCCTGCCCCGAGGTAAAAAACACCGGGAATCGTCGCTTTTGGCCTCTCAGCCGCCCCGGGAGCGGGGGG